ATCTCTGTGGTGGGGTGATGCTTGAGACTCTGTCGAAACCAGAGCCTCGGGGGAAGCATATACGATCCTCACAGTGTGCGGTGGCCAAAAAAAGGGGCTACATGATAGGCGTGCGTGGCACTGAACACATGCGGTTCTGATTTGCCCAACCCCGCCCCTCTTGCGTGCCAGAGCCTGGGCGAGCGCTTCGTGGAGTCGCGAAGGCGACGGGCGACGGGGCACCTCGGAGCGCACAAGATCAATCGATCGTTCCGATCCTTCTCGGCTTTTCCAAACACCCCAACCTCCCCCCCCCCCCCCGCGCTAACCGGATTTTCCCTCCCAAAAAAAGGGTTTCCAGGACCGCAAGTTTGTAAGGTCGAGCTTGCGCCACTGATTGGATAACAGTGTGCCACTGGGATTTCAGGGTTCCCTAACTTCGTATGCATATTTGAAAGGTTCTTGACTGTTCCATTGCCTCGCTCAGGCAACATGCGTGAGCGCAATCCGCACGGCGCGGGACATAGTGGCGGACGTGGCAGACGCTGGCATCGCGCTACCCGACACAGGGATCCAAGACTTGGCACGCTGCCCCGAGAAACACTCAGAGCAGGGCGTGCAAAGAGTTTGTCGGGAGTTTGGTTTAGAGCTCAATGTGCCGCAAGTCATGGTGCCTGGTACAGAAATTCCAGCTTTGAAGCTGACTGATTGGGTGAAGCTTTTGTTGCAACATGACTTGTGGCACACGACCGTGGGCTTGCGCAAGGCTGATGAGCAGCGGACTCGGCGTATATGGCGGCGCTTTTGGAACATTTACCGGTCATATCATAGTGCTCATCCGATTTTCCAGTTGGAGGCCGAGAAGAAAATTGATTTGAGCCGCTGCGCTGCCTTCATCTTCCATGGAGATGAGGGTAGATCTTTAAAGAAGAAACCACTTTTCGTGGCGAATTTCTTTTCGGCCCTGGGGCGTGGCACATCCGAGTCAGTTACAGCCCAGAAGAGGAAATACATCAAGATGAAGATCAACTATCGCGGGCCTAGCTTTGCAACAAGATACCTCGCTGGAGTTCTCCCAAAGCAAAAGTATGGAAAATCCGAGGAAAATCTCCGGGCGCTGCTGCAATTCTGCGCAGACGAGTGCGTGGAGCTCACTCGCCACGGCGTGGTTGGGCCACGAGGCGTGAAGCATCACGTGGCCCTTTTGCGGGTGTGTGGAGATTGGCCTTTTCTCATCAAAGCTGGCAATTTGCGCCGCGGTTTCAACCGGGGCGCGAAATCTGAAGAGGCGACGTCGTCCGCGGGGATTTGTCATCTTTGTCAGGCTGGGCAATTCCCATATCCGTACGAACAGCTTGCCACACAGACGCCTCGTTGGCTGGGCACAATGAACCAGGAGAGCCCGTTTTCTTCGCCTCCAGAACTTCTCGATGTCCCCCACGATGAGGCTCGCGCGGCGGAGTTCTTTGAGCCAGACTCTTGGCACGCCTGGCATTTAGGCGTCGCCAAGAGCTTTTTGGGCTCTGTTTTAGTGCTTGTGATGGAAACCTTTCCCGGATCTTCGGAGCCAGCTCGATATCAAGCACTCACAGACCATTTTTTGGCCTGGTGCAAAGTTCACAACCGCCGGCCGTACATTTCCAAGATTGATGCTACGACCACATCAAGAACCAACAAGCGCACATACCCAAAGGGCCACTGGAACAAGGGGGAAACCTCGACAACTTTGATGCGTTGGTTTGAGTCATGGTGCCAGGAGTTTCAACCCACTGCGCCCTTGCTAGCCGCTTCTTGGAAAGCTGCTAGGTGCATCAACCGTGCGTGGTCAGCCCTTTACAAGCAGGACTTTTGGATTCCGGCAAAAACCGCGAAAGCAATTGGGATGGACATTCTTGAGTTCCTCAGGTTATACGCCTACCTGGCGAAATCTGCGTTTGACCAGGATGAATGCTTATTCAGTTTGCTTCCGAAAGCCCATATGATTCACCACGTCGGCTTGACAGCCTTGGTTCTTCCTGCCCAGAAACATGATCTGATAATTAATCCCCTAGCTTGGGGGTGCCAGATGTCGGAAGATTTTATTGGACGACCGTCGCGCATAAGTAGGCGGGTGAGCTGTCGACAAACCATTGAAAGAACTCTGAGCAGGTATTTAAGGTCTGTCCACGCCATATGGGTGCAGGAAGGGTTCATTGTCTAATGCGAGTGGCCTACGCCAATTCGAAGCCCTCATGCAATCCCCCTACTCTACATGTTTCTCTTTTCAAGGCATCTGCTGGAAAACAGGACCCCTTGAAAAACTTGTTGGTGTAGATGGGGGTTACGCTGGGGCCCCCTGCAAATTTGATCATCTCAGCGAAGATGGCGAGCTTGAAAAGGACCAGCGAGGCGCGGCCAGAGGTTGGGTTGGGCTGCCCGGTTGTTAAAACCCGGTTCTGTCCTGAACAACCTTTTTTTTTCAGGGAACCTTTAAAATTAAAGGTTGTCGGGGTAGAGGGTTGAATTTAAACACACCAAAAACAACAAACTCGATCATGACCTCATGCAAAAACAAACCAACAACATTGTTTTGTGTTTTTGTGTTTGTTTGCTTAACAGAAACACACACACACAACTTGAATATGGGGCAGGCCTGACAAAAATATATGTTCAATCCTGAAAGGAAGATCTTGCCGTTTTTCCTCGCTCTTCCCGCTGGAGCGTCTAAGCAAGTTCGCATAGAACCCAAAATCCGCTGCTTCTTTGAAACCAACAGGAAAAATAAGACATAGTCTTAAGCAAACGTTTTGACATCCCAGGGGTTGTTTGGATTCCCACTCCCCGAAAGGAAGGCTTGCAGGTCGCAGATCCCAAATCGCAACCGAAACAAAAAATGTCAAATTGACCTGGAAATACGAGGCTAACCTTTTGTGACCTTGACTAAATATGGATTGACATGGATTGACAAAAAGGGAAATCTGAACAAAGTTACCACGCCCCCCACTGAAGAAAAATGACCTGCTCCGCCCGGATCCCAAAAGCAAGGCCGAGTCGCCATACCTGAGCGCTCAAATCGCAGTCCAAGTGAACATGCTGTGGACATATTCCCGCGTCAAATGCTAGGTAGTTTCGCCCAATTCATCCATCTCAACTGGGTATGAACCATCTCAACTGGGTATGAACCATCTCAACTGGGTATGAACCATCTCAACTGGGTATGAACCATCTCAACTGGGTATGAACCATCTCAACTGGGTATGAACCATCTCAACTGGGTATGAACCATCTCAACTGGGTATGAACCATCAAGCATCCTGGTCCATCCTTATGGCTGTCGAGGCATGTCAGGATCATGCCCAATCCAGTTCCTTTGGGTGTACAGGATATGGGACACTTGTGCTGAGTCAACTGTTTTGGTAGAGATAGAAACTGAGTGAGTCCCCTCGGTTTATTCATCTGTGCCTGGGTTTGTTCCAAATCCATCCTTAATCCGTACGGATGGAACTGGCTTCCCTCAGGTCTCACTGATTGCGAATTTGAAGAGCCCAGGTTGTCGCGTGGTCAAGAGCAAGGCAAATTATCACCAAACACTGGCCAACCAACGCCGAAGTGCGTTATCCAAGCAATGGTTTGGACATGTTTGGATGCGTTTGGACATGTTTGGATGCATCCACCGCTCTACGGGCACCTAAAAAAGCACTAAAAGATACCAAAAGAGTGGTCAAAAGGGACAAAATGTTCGAATCCACAACCAGCGCATGGCAGGAGGCGCTGTGAGGTCTGCCAAACCCCCTTCCAACGATTTTCAACTGGAAGCACGGTCCTGCGGCAAATTTGCCAGATACACGAAACTCTGCGGTTTTACTCTGCAGCACAACATGGAACCCAAAAGGCTGTGGCTCAAAACCGTGCACTAAAATGGCACCTTGGCATGAGCCAAAGATGAACACCTGCGCTTGGCCCTATCTCTGACTCTTTGAGCCACACCCAGAGTCCGCAAGGTCGCCCGAAACATGGTGAGTTTGGGTGTTCTCACCGGCCCAAAGGAGCCCAAAGGAGCCGGACAACATATGGACCACGGGAAAAAACCTTCCTTCCCTGTCGCGAGTCTGTCTGACGCCAATGCACAACTCTGACTGAGCCAGCCGAAATGGGAAAAAAAAGGTGAACAGGTCAATTCGCTTTGGGCAACTCTGATGGTTTCATGTCGATTTGCAGAGTACTCAATGGATTATGGGGAAAGCACAGCTCCGAAGACCCGCTTCTGCCCGGAAAATGAAACGCAGCTGGCGCGGCTCAGCGTGCGCGTGGCTGTAGTAGCACCCGGCGGGTTGGGGGAAGCCGTCCTGGTGGACAGGACTCCCCACATTTCCTCTTCAGACATCAGCCCTACCTGTGGATGGCCGAAATCCATTTCGCGCCACCTACTAAACCCTGGAATGAGTCGATACCCCTTTAACAAATACCAACGAACAATGGTTTCCCATGGTTTCAACGTGGTGCAGGATTTCGTCCATCCACAGTATGGGTTCACCTCAAAGGGGCCCAAAGGTCCCTAACGTGATGCTTACAAAATCGAGATATGGGAAATATGGGGACCCATGCAACCAAACTGGCCGCTTTCGCTACACCAAAGCAAGTGCCCACGCCATAACTTTCTTTGCCACTTGCCCGGTCGCAGAAAATGCATCGGGCCCCGTTTTCAAGTTGATAGCAATAAACAGAAAAAAACGGTTGGAGGACGGAATCCACTGAGTGGGTCCATTTACCGACTCATAACACCAGGGACCAATTTGGTCACTCGGATTTTGGGACCGCAGGTGACCTCCAGGGCTAAGAAACCGGGATCCACTGCGGCCGTTCACCGACAAACTCGCAGGACCACCTGACGCAGGCGCACCGTAACCCAAAGGAGAAAAAGGAATCGCCTTTGAGTCCGTAACAAAACAACTAGCGGAGTTTCTAATGCCAATTGAAATAACAAAATTAAGGAATCAAACACAATTTCTAGTTGACATTAGACTCTGAATTGCGCGTACTTTTCAAAGCGGATGATGAATAGAGGTCTCGCCGCACGCCTCCTGGTCGGCCCAAAGCTCCCGGAAGAGGTGGCCGCAAATGGCCAAGGAGGCGCTGCTGAGGGGCACCTCTTGCGCCAAGCCTCCGGGAAAAAGGTCCAAGAGGTGTCGCTGGGCCCGAAACAAAACCATGGGATCCACCCCCCAAAATCTTTTGACTACCCCAAAGTGGGCTTAAACCCAGGGGTGGTTGATTTCTCCAACAAAGACACCGATGTGTTTAAGTCTACCTGGGGGTAGTCAAAAAACAGACCCCCGGTCCTCCAACTTGCGTAAAAGGGCCCTGAACAAAAACGACAACACGTGTATCCAGTAGTGGTTGATTCACCTTTAGCACCAGCGGAAAATACTAGATTCACCTTTAACACCAGGGGAAAATGAGGGTTCCGTTTATTGGAATGACAATTTGTTTATTTGTTTACTCGAAAACTCTGCAAACACAAGGGAAAGGATGCCACTGAACAGGGTATAACGTCAACCCCTCACTACAAAAGGATGCACTTACCATGAGATCCAGGTTGCTCAACACCCTCCAACAAATCATTTGGAGTAGTAAGATGTCCAAGATCAGCTCGGCGATTTGGCTGAGTCGCGGACAAAACAGTTTGGAGGACCCATGGGCAAAGGACGTATGTCCTCCCCTGCAGCGCTCCTCCGCTCATGTTCATGTCCCTTTCATGGAAACTGCGACCATTCGCAATGCAATTCCCGTGGGCGGCTTGTCAGCTTCTTGCTGTTCAGGTGTGCTCCCAAACATACGATCGTCACATAGAAACTTGCAAGAAAAGGAAAATAAAACAACACTCCGACTTCCCAGGTTCAATCATCATTTAAAAGCTCGGAGCAACCCCTGGATCGCCAAGGTGCTCCTTTTATTTCAGAGCCTTTACCCTTGAAAACAGTGCCAGTTGCCCCAGTGGCCATGGAGTGCCATGCAAAACCGCAGTTTTGAAAAAATGAGTCCCTGGTAAAATGTAAAATGTATCCTCAGTCTACCCCAGTCGCCGATTGGGGGCCCATCCCCTCCCCCCAAAAAAGGCTGCGACTCTTTCCGCGCACAGGAGCCTTTGGCGGCAGGATCGAAGGTCAGACCTGGCAGCGACTGAGCCGAGCTGTTGAACCTTTCGGTTGGACATGTTGCTTGTTGTTGTTCCGAGCATATGTTGTAGATAAACAAACCGAATTCAAGCAAATTAGATTAAATACATGGATGACCCTTGAAAGTCCAACTTCGCCCAAACAACATGTTGCAGTTGGAACAAACTAAGCTCGGTCAGGTCCCTTATAAGTTCTAACAGCAACATACCATATATAATTATAATCTATCAAAACAACATTGGTCCTGCTGCAAACAGTTCAATCATCTTTTCGCTGAACATGCTGTCTTTCTCAAGGCAAAACTCAGAAGATCTCTTGGGAAAAAAAGCCTGCCCCGTTTTGGGCAAAAACAAAGAAGATGCGGGGTAAACACATGGAAGACACTCCGGTTTGGCAAGCGAGGGGCATCCTCTTTTGCACCCAACGGTGAGCTCACGTAACCAAAGTGCCCGATCCCGAAAGGCGAAAAGAGGCGTCCCGAAAGGCCTTTTTGGTGGTTAGCGAGCCGAATGGGTGGTTTGGTTTGGAGTGAAGAGGTTCCCGTTTACACTCTAGGGCCAAGGGTTCAAATCCGAATCCACCAATCCAAACCAATCTTGGTTGCTGACCCTCTGCAAAAGTTGTCACTTTTGGCGGGTTTAATGGAAAACCCCTTGATTTCCCAAGAAACTAAAGTCTAAAGATCCATTGCCCAACAGCAATCAAGCAATTAGGGGTTACCTGGAGTGTATATAGTGGGCAACCAGACATTTCCCCATTCCCCCAATGCTCATTTGGGCGTGTCTTGTTTGTGGGAGACCCTTCTGATTGGTTTGGTTGGGGGCAAAGGAGAGCCGAAATCCATTTCCGGAAACGACTCGTTTCCAGGGGATTCTGCTTCATGCAATGGGGGCACTGAGTTCTCAACTTCCATCGAATTGGTTTGGATCCCTACACAGGCCACAGTTCCCAACCCTCCATTTGCTTATTTGCTTGAGTCCCCGAAAAAATAACACGTGTTCCAGTAGTGATAGATTCCCTTCAAAAGCAACAGACGCAATAAAACAAGAATATCTGGAGCAAAGTAATAGATCCCCTTCAAAACCAACAGACACAAACAAACCAATAATATTTTGAGCAAAGTGATAGATCCCCTTCAAAACCAACTGACGCAAATTACCAGCATGAACATAATATGGATAGATCAAAACCAACAGACACAACTAAAACAAAAATATAGAGCAAAGTGTTGGATCCCCTTCAAAACCAACAGACACACATCCCAAACAATACTATATTGATAGATCAAAACCAACAGACATAAATAAATAACAATATTTAAGACAAGCAAATGGCAGACAGGGCCATCCACCGGATGCGCCACGGCTTGGGGCCCAGGCGGAGGTCTGAGTCCATTCGGAGGGCGATGCTGAGGTGCAGAGCAGGGGCATTGCTTTGGAAGGCCAAGACGCCTGAGCCGAACCAACACTCTGTCTAGGTCCTCCAGTAGAGAGGATAGAATAAGGGTACCATATTATTTTGTTTGTCTATTTTAGTAGGGGAACCGGGGACCTAGCTGTGGCCCCAGATCAAGAAACCCGCTGGTTCATCACTATAGGGGGTTGTCTTGTTTTGTTTGGCCTTTTTCCACTGTTCTCTCGGCAAACAAGAAAATCTGTCCCGCGCGACCAGGTCGCCGGGATGGGAATCCCACAGAAAGTCTTTGGAAGAGCCATAGTCCAAACCTGACAAGTTGTGGGGAGCTTGTTTTAGTGCGATGACCGTGGCCCCAGATCAAAAAAAACCCTCTGGTTCATCACTAGTGGGGTGTCTGATGGTTGTTTTTTTTTGTGCGCATAGGGGGTGTCCCCTTTTCATGTGTGTGTGTGGGTGACGCCTCCCGAATACTTGGGACTTAAAGTAGGATGGGTGTCTTCATCCAGGGTTCCCAATACCACTCCGAGTGGATCCAGTTGAACTCTGTTTAGGCAACCAAGGGAACCATGCTGAAGCAACTAAAAGCAGCATGGCTTGTGGATAGAGCGAACTAGCCATGCAACTTGTGTACAAGAAAGGCTACTCGCCTCATTCCCAAAGCCCGAAGCCTCACCTGGTGCTCACTGCACTTCGGAACCACGTCGACATGTCCAAAACGATTCTACAAACGGCTCCAAAGAGAGAACCCAGCTCGCTGTACCCCAAAAGCGCACACATATTTCTCTCCCCAGAGTCTGGGTATTCTGGCAGGGCACTAAAGAGCCGAAGTAGTTCTTGGCGTTGGCCACATGTCAAGGTATGGGAAGGACATCATCTAGACAGTGCCAATCTCGTAGACAGTTGGCCTTTACAAGAAAAGCAAACCACATTTGTATGGCGTGCCAAATGTATATATATATATGTATATATATATATAGAAATACTTCCTATCTCCTTTGAACCAGGCAGTAGAACCCTGCACTATAATGGCCAGGGTCTAAAAATCGTCTTTTTTAAAAGCCCCTCCTGGAGTCTCCATGTCCCTTAAAAAATGGGGTCATTACCCAAAGTAATGGGGTCATTGACCCATTTTGAAAGGGTCATGGAGATTCCAGGCTTCAAGAGAAAGGAACAAGGGAAGCAAGCTGGAGGTCTGCAACTTTGATGTGCCGCCGGGTACCCACCTATGGACAACGGCACGGTCGAACAAAGTGGCCACGGGGAAAACTCGGCACCCGGAATTTAGCAGTTGATTTGGAAGAGAAACCCCACTTCAAAAAAAGAAAGGAACAATCGAACAATCCTGGAGGTCTAGGCTGAAATCGAATGTGACTGAGATCCCCGCTGGGGGCACGGGTTCTGGGCAAAGAGGTGGTCAAATGCCACTCTGACCTGGGTGCGCCGGTATGGCAGTTAGCTCTTTCACTGCGAACTCTTTGCAGGGTATATGTTGAACTTCACATACCTCCTTTCTTGGTCAGGCATACCGTAAAACAAAGGAATGTGGAGCAGGGAGTTTGCTGGGAGTGGCCAACAGTCGGAGGTTGCGCAAAGTTCGAAGTTAGTGAACACAATGTTGACCAAGCCGTCCGGTTCATAGGGGGTGTTCCCTCTGGTGACAACCGCCCACTAAAAGAGACACCGACACCCCCGTCAATCAAGCAGACTTCCGGGGCTCAAGTTGAGTCGCCCGAGGTTGGAAGGCCGGAAAAAGATTGGGCTACCGCCCGCGGGCGATAGCCCGCAGGCAATGCCTCGGACTTCACAGCATTTGAGTCTTCGATTGGCTTGTACAAACTGTCAATTGGCTTAACTACTTTTGCTCAGCCTCAACAGGTGGGCATTGCACAGGTTGCGAGTCACGATCATGTCGTTCTTGCAGCTGCCAGTCTGTAGAGCCCATCAAGCAGTTATAAGCACCGAAACATAACATAAGGGGGGCGGGTTTTGTTTTTTAATGCTACTCCTTTTGGACTGGCCTGCATGTAAAACCACAAGGCGCTCACCATTGTTTTGGTGTCCCATATTGAAAAAACACACACCTTCAAGCGGTGGCATGGATCCTCAAAAACCCTTGGAAGAACAGGATCAAGATGCTTGGAGTTAGACAAGCCCAGGCTTCCCTGAAAAGCGTTCAAAGCCCTGTAGACCATTTTTTGGTACGATTCCTCGCATCTTTGTAGGATTCACTGAAAGGCTTTTCCTTCCAATCCTTTGGAAGACGACAGGGTCTTAGCCACTGGCTTGGTCTTGGACTCTGGTAAAAAAACGACCCGACGTCTTCAGCAAAGGGTTGCAAACAAAGGGAAGTTGTCAGATCTCTTGGGCTTGACGAAATTAGTACGGGGAAGCCATCAAACAGAAGTGGAAGGAGAAGTCAATCGGCGACCCCACGCACACAGTTGCTCCCTCCCCGCCCGAAAAATGTGGGCTCCTCCAAAACAGCGCTTACTCACGGCCTAAAGTTCCTAGTCCGGGGATGCAAACGTTTCTTCAGGGGTGGGAGGGGAACGGTTGGCTCTTACTTCCGTGGATCGGCCCAAAGAATCCAAGTTTCTATGCCACTAACATGGTCTGAAAAGCTAAAAGTTCACGAACTGGGAAGCCAGACTTGGATCTTCAGCCCGCTTACTAGGTTGTAAGTAGTTGTAAGCATAATTAGTACTGGGGTAAAAGGGGTCTGGCCCTTACAGTGGTTATAAAACCTAGATGCCTGACGTGGCAAATTGATGCTTGGCTTACTCACTTTTCGTGTAATCTTGCCAAACAATCCAACTTGTGTTCGAACATAATCTCGCTGGCGCTCAGTAGGAAATGAGGGAATGAACCTGGGGATTCCCTTCAAGGAAACCATCAGTTGGATGGTTAGGGGTCATTCCAATTGGCACCCAAGCGCCCCGCGGGAAGGAGGGCGGGTGCACCACGTCAATGGCGCCCACCAGGAATGAGCGGCTTCCGCGGCTCCAACACACCTGCGCCGTGCGAAGTGTTTTTTTGTCTCGCAAAGGGCTTATTGTTCTCACAACCATTTTCTCGAGTGGATGGCCCAATAAAATGTAACACAACTTGTTGTTTCCACTCAAATGGTCCTCCCAAGAAGTTTAAAGTTCATGAACTCAGGAAGTGAATCCAATAAGCTCAGGCGATATCCCCAACAGCACCACACCCTCCCAGAATCCTCGCGGAACGCCCCGCGACCGGTTTTGCTGAGGATGCCGCCTTGTAATTTTGTAAAGCAAAGCTAAGAGCGACGCGCCCTGATCGGGGCCCGACGGCGCAATCGGGGCCCGATCGGGGCCCGACGGCGCAATCGGGGGGGCTGACGGTGCAATCGGGGCCCGAGCGGGGCCCGACGGCGCAATCAGGCCCCGACCGGGGCCCGATGGTCCCGTGGTGCAAGCGGGCTCCCACCAACCCCAGCCACATATTATAGCTCAACGCCGGTTTTTTGTATCCAGCAAAACTAGGCCATGCCAGCTTTATACAGTTGACGCGGCCCGACTGAGTCCGGCCCCGATCGGGGCCCGACAGCGCAATCGGGGCCCGATCGGGGCCCGACGGCGCAATCGGGGGGGCTGACGGTGCAATCGGGGCCCGAGCGGGGCCCGACGGCGCAATCAGGCCCCGACCGGGGCCCGATGGTCCCGTGGTGCAAGCGGGCTCCCACCAACCCCAGCCACATATTATAGCTCAACGCCGGTTTTTTGTATCCAGCAAAACTAGGCCATGCCAGCTTTATACAGTTGACGCGGCCCGACTGAGTCCGGCCCCGATCGGGGCCCGACAGCGCAATCGGGCCCGATCGGGCCCCGACGGTGCAATCGGGCCCCGACGGCGCATCGCCCGACCTGTGCCTGGTGAACCTCGCAAACCGTCCTCGTTGGACCTTCGTCGAACTCAGCGTGAAACTTTGTTGGAACCTTTCCTCAGGGCTGCCCCATAGCTTTTGCAGAACCTGGTGGAAACCTCGTGGAGCGTTTTTGGAACCCAAAGCCCAAACAATGCGCAGTAATGCCAAGCATTTACTCTGCTGCACAGTGAGAGTCCCGCAGCAACGTGATCTGATTTGCAGCAAAGCCAACATTTCGGGCCGCATTGCTTGAAGAAGTGAGCAAGTCACAAAACATTGAAAGTGTGCTGGGAACCATGAACTTCGGTTTTGCTTAGTGTTCCGCCCATGAGCAAGGCGATCTTCTGAGCAGACGACGGGCGCACGACACATTGTTTTTCTTTAGGGCAAACCATGGAACCTTGCGGAACCTTTGTGGAACCTTTTGGGGCCTTGTGGAACCCTTGTGGAATCCTCGCGGAACTCTGTGGAACCCTTTGAAACCTTACCTCGCAACAATGGTGGAACCCTGGTCGAACTTTGGCGGAGCTTTTGTGGAACCTTTTAAAACCACCCCGGACCACCCCGCAGCCACTGGTGGAACCCTGGTGGAGAAACCTTGTGGAACCTTACCTCAAACCACCCCAGACCACCCCGCAGCCCTCGCAGACGGAATTACCTCAAACCAACCTTGCAGAACCTGGTGGAACCCTGGTGAAACCTGTTCGAACCCTCGTGTAACCTTACGTTGAACCTGAACCTGACCTCAAACCACCCCGGACCCCCCGCAGCCCTGGCAGAACCTGGTGGAACCCTGGTGGAACCTCGTGGAACAATACCCCAAACCACCCCGGACCATCCTGTAGCCCTCGCAGAACCTGGTGGAAGACTGGTGGGACCTTACCTCAAACCACCCCGGACCACCCCGCAGCCCTCGCAGAACCCGGTGGAACCCTGGTGGAACCTTTGTGGAACCTGACCTCAAACCACCCCGGACCCCCACAGCCCTTGCAGAACCTGGTGGAACCCTGGTGGAACCCTCGTGGAACCTTACCTCAAATTTCCCCGCACCACCCCGCTGCCCTCGTAGAATGTGGTGGAACCCTGGCGCAACCCTCGTGGAACCTTACCTCAAACCACCCCGGACCACGCAGAACCTGGTGGAACTCTGGTGGAACCCTCGTGGAACCCTCGTGGAACCTTACCTCAGGGCCGCCCCGGACCACCCCGGACCCTATCTGGGCTGAGACCCCAAAGCTTTCAGCTGTTGGGGAAAAAAAAGGACCTTCGTCCTGGACGCATTTCACCCTCAGGTCGACGTTGAGTCGTGGCTAAAAACACAATACGGGCATTCCCTGCCCCCGTGTCAAATATAAAGAAGGATAAACATAAGTTGTTGATAGGGTGCGGGCGGGGGGGGGACATTCTCACTATTAGCGTGCGTCGCACTTTGAAAGCGACCGCGCGTGTTTGAGCAATTCGACAGTGCACTCCATGATGAGGTCTGGCACTCCATATTTGCAGTCGACTTTAAAGGGAGCCCCGCCACAGTGAGCAAAGGGAAGCCCCCATGGCGTTTGCGATTTTCAGCTAAACCCATCTCCCCCTTTGTATATCACCCCTGCCAAGAGAAGCTCACCTTGAATGGGCCGACCATGTGATGTGTAAAACCGCAAAAAAGAGAGAGAAAGAAACACGCGGTGGATGCCGTAAATATAGCTCGGGGAACAAGGACACCCTCGATTTGACAAGTTTGTTCGTTGTTTTGTCAATGAGTCTTCGTTTGTCTCAAAATAGGGCATCTTCAAACTGGTGGGGCTGCTTTTGTTCTCCTTCAAACCCCCGAAAAGGGTACAATCCAGACAATATGCATGTAATGGACGGGTACTTGATTCTCACGCATATACATATCAAATGCACATACCTCCAAAGATACACCAGTGATTTATCAAATCTCGTGGACTTTTTATTTTCCCACAATTCAAGGTTGTGAGCGCGGTCCGGTTCCGTGCTGCAAAACGTCTTCCCTCAAATAAGCCCCATCAAACAGCCCACTGTGATCATCCTATAAGCCCATGATCAAACTCGCCGTTCTGCTTCCAGGAAGGTCTAGTTCCTCCAATATATATATATATATATTTAAATCACATCTCAGGGTGTGTTTTTTAAAAGGTTCCAACGTGTTTTTTTCCACAAAGGTTTGAGAGACCGTCAAAAGGTCAAAGGTTCAGCCGCGACCAAAGCTGCCTCGGCCCTTCAAGGCCGCGCCTCATAGGCCCCAGGCGCCGCAAGACGTGCCTCGAAGGCGGCCCGCGAGGAGGCGCTCCAGGAGGCGCTCGCGGGAGCTGACCTGACGCCGTCTGCGACTGAAGAAACGGCGGCGCGGAAGGATTTTGCCATGGGGAAAACCACGAGAATTTGGCGCTCTTCTAGGAGTTCCCCAGTCGACTCGAACCGGGAAGCTGATTTTTTGAAAAACAAGAAGAATTCGGCACTCTTCTAGTGCTGCCTTCCCCATTTTCACCAACTGATGGACAAATTCCATGCCAACCGGCACCGGAAAACTGGGATCTGCTCACAGCAAAGCCATCAGCTGCAACCAACAGACGGGGCTCGACTTTTTGGCCATCAGCCAGGCAGATCGTTCTTTTCACAAACCGATCGCCGTTTCTCCAGGGTTTTGGGTGGTTTTCTAGAAAGAAGGATTTCTGGAAAGAGTGGGGAGAAGTTACTTTTACAACTCTGGGATAAGATTAGCTGATTTCAAATGGAATTTCCAAAACCAGTGGCAAGTATGACCCAGCACCCTCCAAGGCTTGTCAATTGGTACCCAACATGGCTCACAGGGCACTTCAAAATGGACCACACTTGGAGGGTGCTGGCTTGAGTAATTTAGCAGTTGATATCCCGCGCAGTAACCTGCATATTGCAGCGTACAGGGAACGCGCGCAAAAATCAACTCGGAGACCCCCGGCCCACGACCACTCAAGAATGTTCCAGCGAAGCTGTGTTTTCGGGGTACCCTTACCCCTCGGTTCAAACTTTGAAGCCAAAAGCAAAACAGCAAAAATCAAGTCTTCTTTGACACATCCCCATTTCAAGAACCACAAAAAAAGGCGCCAGTAAGGATTTCGCCAGTCTGTCGTGCCAGGCATGGCGTTTCTTCTTTCCGGGAGTCCAGCTCCACCAAGATCTCTGTGTCCGTGGCTGAGATCACGGTGATGGGGCCTCAGCTGCCACCCACGTGCCCCAATTCCCTTTTGAATCTAAGTCAGAGGTCTCTAGATGTCCCTTTTGTTTGGTGGTTTTTGAGCATCAGGCGAAATATATTTCAAGATGATTGTGTTAGTGAAAATTAGCAGCAAGGTCCACGGAACATCCGGGTCTTTGGTGGCTGTTGAAGCCATCTCCTGTATTGGTTGTAGCGTTCTGTGAAGCAAAGTCTTAGCACAACCATGTGCCAGAACAACTCGACGTTTAAGATGGACATTCAACGCAAAGTCTGCTTTGAAGGAAAATTCCGTAGAACTGGGAACACGAAGATATGCAATTTGAGGTACGAGTATTGAGGTAATCATGGTCTGCTATTGGCTCAGCTTAATAAAGCATCACGCACTTGTCCACGACATCTGGGCAAACAACAGTTTCCCAGCTGACATAAAAAAAAGAAGAAAACACATCCCCGACTGTCGACTACTCGGAATAAAGCCCTGGAGCCTTTGGTCCACCATAAAGGATCAACACATATGTATATATATATATATGTGGTCTTTTGTCTGTGAGGCCTGCCTTCAAGGGTCGACCGGTCGACATTTGATGTCCATCGAGAAGCCACGCGTTCCCCAAGACGACGAGATCCAAGTGAAGCGATGGAAACCCAGTTGACTCATGCAGAAAGCTTGATTGATTGGGCCAGTGGATCCATTCACCAGTGAACTCTGCAAACTCTTGGTATGGTAGAAACTTGATTGCTGTTGACCCCCCTGCAACAAGTTTAACTTTTTGGGGGTTTAGTGGAAAACACAACTTGATTTCAAACAAAAAGTTAAAGTCTAAAGATTCGTTGCCCAACAGCAATCAAGCAATTAGGGGTTACCTGAAGTATATATAGTGGGCAACAAGACATTTCCCCATCCCCCCAATGTTCATTTGGGCGTGTCTTGTTTGTGGGAGACCCTTCTGATTTTGGTTGCTTTGGTTGGGGGCAAAGGAGAGCCGAAGTCCATTTCCGGGGACGAGGAAAAAACCGGCCAAGAACAGTGTGAAAACGAGGAAACCGCACAGCCCCAACAGGCCAGTGGTCTTCATCCCTCAATGGCCATGGGAACGAATGTGCCCCAAGCAGTTTACCCCAACAAAAGCAACCGGCGCAAAGAAAAGCATCTCACTGAAGCTCCGGGACAGCGCCCGGGATTGGAAGCGTTGCTCTCTCTCCATCTCTCGCTCTTTCGGGGAAGAAGGGACGCCTTTCCTCTTCCGGACAAGGCAGGGGCTTTTGATACCAAGCCGATGTTCAGCGCGTGTTTTGGGACATCGCGTGCCTCGAAGTCTACGTCCCAAAAGCCAACGGCACTTGTGGAGGCCGAGTTTTGGAACGGGGCGAAACTCGCCTGAAATGTGCGCGGCGGAAACCAGCAATTGCTTCAAGGGGCTGAAAAAGCGTAGACACGCATTATCCTCGCTGAAAACTTCACAAAACATGGATTGAAATGAATTACCCCGCAGAGCGAAGCATTTCTGCCCCTATATGCACTGTATGTATATATATATATATATACATGCACCCCCCCCCGATGGATCAACCTTTTTGCTATTTGAAGGCTATTTTGGAGATGGAATGCGGTTGTTTTATTTGGAATGCCCCATGCGGCTTGACCAGTAACAGCTCACCCTAAGCAAGGAAATAATCCTCTTTATCTAACTTGGAATAACAACTCCAATGTTGTGTGTTCGTTGCAAAAAGAACTATTTAAATTATCTTCAAAACTGGAGATTCTACTACAATCATTTCATGATTAGATTCCAGTAATTTCTAAATAGATGCGGAGAAACAGTATCCCGGGAAAGGACGCTCTCTTCAAAACATGTTTCGACGTAAGAATCCTAATTAATAATGTTCTTCACAATGGAAAATCTGTTCAAATCATCTTTAAGTCTAGACATTACATTAGGTGTTGTTCACTTTCAATTCTGTTTAAGGTCTAAAAATAAAATTGAACAAATCATCCTGGAAAAAGACATCCTTTTGAACATCTACTTTCATAATTCCAATCATTAAGCACCTTGAACAGAAGAACACACACTATGTAAAATCTCTTGAAAGCTAGACATTCTAGTAAAGTTATGTGCTCATTAAGTTCTATTGAAATTATGCCAACAAATCTACCTGTTTGAACATCTAGGTTCAATTAAGAATTTGACTTCGCATCTAGCTCGACACGCAATTCCTATGTAAATTATCTTTAATTAGGCTAGACACTCTACTAAAACTCTACGATGGTGTGTTCCTTATTAAGTTCCAGGTCAAGTCTAATGCGAAAATTGAACAAACACAATCCGAACAGATCGCCTTCGCCGTCATCTTTCAAATCTATTTTGAGACAAGACTTCTAATTGATTTGTTTGATGTTTAATTCTTATCGAATACTTTGAATTCCAAGCAACAATCACTAAAAAAGCAAAATGCAACATGTGTTTGGACAAGCAAGCATGTTTTTCACTGAACAACCAATTGGAGGAAATAAGTCACATTCCTATAGAGATCCAAACCGACTGGATTCAAGATTCCCTGTAAAAGTTTGGCCTAAAGCTTTCAGATTGTCTTTGGACATGTGCCTTTTTTTGCTGCTTTCCCCAAAGCCCCAAAAAAGGCAAAACACTGCACATTCCAGTGAATTCTCAAGGCAGGTAGATTCATTCGGCGTGTACCATATATATATATATACTCTAGGCGTGCCCTCCCCATTCCGATCGAACAATTGAGAAACTATAGGTTCTGGAAGCTTCCATTTAGATAAAGTTAAATCTGATGTTCATATGCTCAGTCAAATACATAGGCCCTTCATTGATCCAAAACACAGTGCTAAACCCCTTGAAGTTCAAATGTGATTCCGCCATTTGTTCGTCTTCCCCACTGGCAGCTTGTGCAGAGTGTTCCGCCACGCGCATCGGAAAATGAGCAATCTGCCTGTGCGATGATTGACCAATCAGAGCAAAGCTGAGGGTCACTTGGCTGGGCGATTCCAGCCCTGACCATGGTTTCTGAGTTCTCAAAGGACTTTCAAACTTTGAGCCTGTTCTTGTTGTCTTCGTTTAGTGGTGGCTGGAACTAACAGCAAAGCTTAAATCATATAGCCCTGGGAGTTTAACTTGTAGACCAGTAGGGTTTAACGACCCTTGAATTCAAGAAGGGAAGCTGTTTTATGGGTCTGGTGGTTTCAATCTTCGCAGTCAGACCCGTTGTTTGACCGTGAAAGGATAAACCACCCCCTCCAGGCTCCTTCCATCGGTTCTTTCTATATGATGCTGATCCAATGCATCTGAACAACTTGTCATATGTCACTCACCGGACATTGAGACCTGTATGAAAGCAACCTTATGTGTTGCAAAGAAGCCCCTGCAAACACCAACGCTAGGACGTCGCAAAATCCTGAAACGCCTTCGCTTTTGCTCAGATAAATCAACGCCAACTTGCCACCCTTTGGCTTATACCGATGGACTTACAAGCCTCCTAATGGGGTTTACTGGATTCACGGTATTCATAACCAAACAAAGGCCGGCCAAGTAGGTGATAGGTCGTGTACCGTTTGAGAGGGCATCTGGATCTGCATGCGTTGCAGCTTTCATCCAAGCTGAACACGTTAGGAACTCACCTACTATGGCTGCGTGTCTCCAAAAACAAGCCCGAAATGTGTCGGCTTTCGTGGATCCATCCTTGTAGGATGTTAAAAAGAGTACTAAGGGGAGCACAAGTAAAATCCACAACAAACACATCCCAACCGATTTCTAGAAAGGAACGACCTCAACACAAGACACAACCACACAACTAACGAAGGAGACCCCCGAGTCCTTCGGCAAACCTGAGCGCTTGCACAAATCGCAGACGTGGCTCGAATGTATTGACCGCCATCGGCGGTGAAGGCGTCAGGCGTAAGTGGGACTTTTGACTAGGTCCTCCAGTGGAGAGGTTAGAATAAGTGTACCCTTTTTTTTCCGTAGTCTATCTTTAGTAGGGGAACCGAATCTCCGACCCTAGCTGTGATAACAGTTGCAGATCAAAAAAACCCGCTGGTTCATCTGGCAACTGGGGGACCTAGACACAACTGATGTCGCCATTTCGCCCTGCGAAATGGATTTCGTTGAGGTCTGTGGCACGCGGATTCGGTCTGCTCACAGTGTCCCAGCTTTGTTTGATGTGCCAAAATGGGTCATTTGGTCAGAAATACGGCTATATGGTCAGTTGGTCATAAATACGGCTATATGGTCATTTGGTCATAAATACGGCTATATGGTCAGTTGGTCATGAATACGGCTAGATGGTCATTTGGTCATAAATACGGCTATGTGGTCAGTTGGTCATAAACACGGCTATATGGTCATTTGCTCATAAATGGCTATATGGTCATTTGGTCATAAATGGCTATATGGTCATTTGGTCATAAACGGCTACATTTTGGCTACATGGTGATTTGGTCATAAATACGGCTATATGGTCAGTTGGTCATAGATGGCTATATGGTCATTTGGTCATAGAATATGGTCATTTGGTCATAATGGCTATGTGGTCATTGGTCATAATATATGGTCATTTGGTCATAGATGGCTATATGGTCATTTGGTCATAAAGGTCTATATGGTCATTTGGTCATAAATACGGCTATATGGTCATTTGGTCATAAATATATAGATGGTCATTTGGTCATAAATACGGCTATGTGGTCAGTTGGTAATAAACACGGCTATATGGTCATTTGGTCATAGATGGCTATATGGTCATTTGGTCATAAAAGGCTATATGGTCATTTGGTCATAAATGGCTATATGGTCATTTGGTCACAAATTGCTATATGGTCATTTGGTCATAGATGGCTATATGGTCATTTGGTCATAAATACGGCTATATGGTCATTTGGTCATAAATACGGCTAGATGGTCATTTGGTCATAAATACGGCTATGTGGTCAGTTGGTAATAAACACGGCTATATGGTCATTTGGTCATAAATACGG